TTACTTTAGGGATCGTCCATATATTAAGTAACGCGAAATTAAACTTACAAAAACTTACAAAAGACATATCTCAAAAACTGTGTTTCTCTCATGGTCAACCATGTTGCATGTTCAAGAACTAGAGCATTTAATAGTTTGCTTTTCAAAATTGATAAACATCCTATTCAAGATATGGTAGGTGAAAAGTGTTACACAATAATGTTATATTTTCTAATGTTCTTAATTTATAGTCTTTAGATTTTTATTTCGAAAATTTACTGTTTAAGGCTGTGAGTACATTTTGTATGTATATCTTTATTTTCTTTTTTTTTCTTCCATAGTTTTTGATAAATATATCTGTTATTTAATATTGTTATAAAATGTGTTTATATGTGTTATATAAATTCATATTTGTTTATAGTTGTATATGTTTAAATTAAGTTGTTTCCATGTTTTTAAAGTGGTACGACTTGGTATTATGTTGAGCAAGTTTGATAACCTTGCTAACCAAGCGGTTTACTTATAGCAGAGGTGTGACTTGGCAGCATTTAGTGCCAGGCAATGTTACTGCTTTAGAGCTAGGTTGTATTGTATTGCTTTTTTAATTATTCTGGAAACACATAATATCTGTTAATGTTTAGCGTAATGTTTATGAAAGAGTATGCAATCTTAATCTTTAAATATAGGGTGCTTTAACGTCCTAAATTTGAAATAATTGAATAACTAATATTGAATATAAAAACAAATATACTTTATTAAAGTTTAGTAAAAAGATAAATATAATTAACTCTAAATTGGTTTTTTAATTTTGCCTTTCATATTATAATATAGTTTGTTATTTTCACTGGATTTTATTAATATGTGTTATTGTTGTGATGTTTTGTGTTGATAGACAGCTTGGCTTATCTTCTCGTTGGTGTCTATTGTTAAAAATAATTAATAGGTAGTTTCATTATTGGAACTTACTGGTTTTATTTATTTACTAAAAGCCAAAACAACATTTTGCTAAAAATGCAATTTATATCTTAGTTTGATTTTTTTTTTAGTATTGTTAATCGTTTTGTACTTTGAAACAGTGTTTATATTAACTGTAATTTCAAAATAGGTTACTATAAATGAGTAAATTGATTTTTAGTTTTTAATTGGTGTTTTTTTTTTTTTGTAACTATATCATAATTCCATTACTTTTTTATTGTAGATTTATGTTATGACGCATTTATAAGATATAAATATATGCAATTAGTTCAATTTTTTTTATATTTTATCTATTTTATGCTTAATAATTCGTTGTACGTATCTTAGGGGATCTTTGTAAATGGGGGGTCATAACTAAAAACCTTTAAAAACATGGAGAATATTGTAGTTTTGCGCATTTGTCAAATATAGAGTTACTTAAGTTTTATTTACGTGTTTAACTAATTAGTTAGCTTAGTCTGTATTTGCAACACTTTTGAAGAAAGAAAGAAAACATTCTTATATATGTAAGTCATTGTTTTACATTTTATTATTTTGGTAAAAAGTCTTCATCAAAAGCTTGATTACTCTTAATAAAAAAACTCACCTGGCCACCATTAAACTAAAACTTGAATACTCTTAATAAAAAAAAACCTACTCACCAGGCCACCATTAAAGCAAAAAGAGAGGAGGAACCTCTTTATTAGTGTAAAAATATTTAGGAAAATTAAATTTCGAGTAACAAAAGAAATTTTTAGTAAATGGTAGCAAATGACTGTTTACTAAAAATTGATGGAATAAAGAGGTCAATTGATTGTAAATTTAATTTTTTTTCTCTTAGAAACGTATTTTACTTAGTTGCTTTTACTAGTTATTTATAATTAACTTAGTTAATTTTAATAAATTTAGTTAGTTGCACCCATTTAACATTTTTGAGATAACAATTTTCTTTTCTAAAGAAAAATTAATCAAGAGGATACTGAAAAATTGATAACTCCCGTATAATATAAGTTAACTTTATCTTAATCTTAATAGTTAATTAAAGTTCATGCTATAAAAATTATTACAAGGATTTAGTTGATATTTTCGTCAATTTAAAGCATGATGAAGTGTTATTATTTTGTGTCAGTAACTAAAAACGTATTGTGTTGAACTTAGGAATGTAAAGGAAAATGGTTCTGCTTTACGCTGTTATGACCTATGTAAATTACTCGATGTTAAGTAATAATTGGTAAATTATTTTACCTCATACTTTTTATGTTAATTTTACAGATGGATTAATTTTATCAATTTGAAGGCATTTTTCTAAAAGGGTATTAGTTAAGGTTTTGCAACATTAAATTGTGGAAAACAGCCACTATAAATTAGTTATGTAACAGACCGACCATAACCCATATTACGGGTTGCTTTTTGCTAGTCATATACTATTATACTATTATTCAAATAATATATTAAATCTTTTTGCTAGTCATATACTATTATACTATAATTCAAACAAAATACTAAATCTTTTTATTAAAGTAGGAATAAAGTAAAAACTTTAATCAAAAAAAAAAATTTACCACAAGTAAAATTAAAGTAATCTAATTAAGTGAAGCAAAAAATTAATATATATTGTTATACATCATATTTAATATTCGCAAACTAAGAGAAATAAAGTAGCATATTTTAAACTATGAAACTATTTTAAGCACACTTTCAAAATTTAAATGATTTTATCAAACTTTATTATATGAATTTTCAAAATTACTTTTTGATTATTTGTCAAATCTCGTTTTTAAAAACTCTGATTTTAATTCATGACTTTTGTATTCGACAATATTTTAATATAAAGGGTAATATTGGACACAACTTTTTAGATATAATACCCACCAACCACTACAAAAATCTATTTAATGTATAAACCTGTGACCACTGTATAACTTATTAATTCAAAAAAATCAAATATAAACTTCACAAAGCTGATACACAATGATTTACTAAATGTTAACTGGTATATGTTAGCCAAGAAAAATCAGAATGTGTAAGCATTGCAGCAAGTTATTTGTACTTAACCCTGATGGTTCTCTTAGTAATGATTGATGAAAAGATAATTGTAAAAAAATGCACCTTTGGAACAATATTTTTGCTTCTGTTTTTTTTAACTAGACACAGTATACAATTTTACATAAAAATTAATATAAAATATGTATTCATAAACTAAATTAAAATATATAATATTCAAAAACTAAATAGCAGGCTTTGTTTTAAATTAAAAAAATGCTTAATGCATGAGCTTAATGCAATAACTGACATAAAATTCTATAAATTTTTTTATTTTTTAAAGACATTACCTTTTTTTAAATTACTGCAATAATATTAATTACCACAAAACGAGTGAAATATTATCTAACAGCTTTTTTATTATTACTATAAGGAAATTTTCATTAATTTTTATTTATTTTCTTTTTAATATTGCATTTTTAAAAATATTTGATATTAACAAAATTAACAATTAACAATTTTTTTCTTTTCTATACATGCATAAATGAATTAAAATATGTTAAAATATGTATTTCTTAAATTACTAATTACAGCTTTGCAAGTACAAGTGATTAAAAAAAAAATTTGCGAGTTACAAATAAAAAAATTACATTAATTTATTTACTTTATTTATTAAAAGTTAATCATTTTATTATTAAAATTATATTGCTGTATATATCATTTATTAAAAAATATCAACTGCTATTTAACTTGTGTTACAAAAAAAAATGTTTTTTATAATACAAGTTATAAAAAACTTTTTTTATAAAACTGTTTTGATGCAGCTGTTTATTTAAAATTTAAATTTGAGTAATAAATGTTTAGGAAGGAAAACTGAAAAACAATTGCGATAAAAATGAGCTAATTTTTTTTTTTATAAACAAATAAAACTTCAATATTAAACAATATTTAGTACTATTTTAAAATAAATTTGGCAGTTAAGTTAAACACAAGCATTAATTTTAATTTTTATGAGCTTAAATATATTTTTTTAAATCAAAATTAAATAATATATTTTTCTATCTAAATTAAATCTAAATTAAATTGTATATTTTTTTGGAATAAAATTATATATTTTTATTAAATTAGTTTTAAATTAAATCATATATTTTTTATCAGATTATCAAATTATGTTTTTATGATCATTTCTTCAAGTTTAAAAAATCAACCATTACAATAAAATAAAAACAAACAAAAAAAAATTTTTTTAATTTATCTGAGTTTTTTTCATTATATCAAACATAGTCATTCAAACTATTATAAGAAATATATTTACATAAATGTCATTTAAAAGTTAATGTGAATTTTTTAAAATTAATTACTTCTTTTATTTTACCGCTAATAGAATAATTTAAATGTTAAAAAATGATAAAAAGTTGCTTAACCGAAATCACTCACTGCATACGTAAAATCGCTTAAGGCGCACGTAAATCGCTCTACGTGTAATGCTTTAAAACAAGGACTAAAATAGTATGAAAAAGTTCAAAATAAAACTATAAACATATAAAGGTTTCTTTGAGGTCATTGTATACATGTCTACCATCCTCCACTATGGATATAAGGAACTTTAGAGGTTGTTGTATAACATGTATTTTTACACGAAAGAAAAAGATAAAAGCAAATAAAGCATTGAATCCAAAAATAATTATATTTTAAATTTAATAAAAATAACTATTATAAACTTGAATAAATGTTTTTAATTATTTAAGTTGTTAATAAGGTATAACTGCATAAGGGAAAACCCAAACATAACATCATATTTTTAATTAACTTTTAAGTTAATTAAAAGATTATTTGTATCAATTTTAAACATTAACTACAAAAGTTAAATATTAAGACTATTTTTTTAAAAAGAAATTATTAAGGAGTTAGAGATTTCTTTCAATAGAAACAAAATATTAACAAAACTTAGCACTTATTAATCTCTTTAAATTAAATAACAAAGTTAAAATTAAACATTGTGTAAAAGTTGAGATCACAACATCACAATATCAATGAGATCTGTGAGATATGTTTATGGTGTATGAAACAATTATTTTGCTTACCTATCTACATAAAGCTGAAGATGACGCGGCATTTCACCATTTGGAACAGCATCAGGAGATTCTTGTAACTTTAAAACCTTAAATTAAATAACTTCATTAATCTAGCTCATTAATTTATTATTTAATAACACAAACCAGTTAAAAAAAAGTTACAAAAAAAAAAATTAAAAAAAAAAAAAAAAAAAAAGAAGTTTTTATTATTATATATACATATACACACACATATTAAGGTTATGACTCTTTGGTATCTTGTTTCATGTATAAAAAATATGTGAACTTTGTTAAATAGTTTTGATATAAAAGGTTAAATTCCTAAAGAACACTTTTGTAATAGTTTGAAAGAAATTTTGTCAGGATCACAATCTGTAAAAGAGTTAAAGTAAAAAATAACTTCAGCAATAAAAACCTGGGTAATTTGGATATTTAGAACAGTAGATTAACCTGTTTCTTTGGGATGGCAGAAGATTGTAGTCATATTTAAAAGATGAATCTGCAAAAAAGTTCTTTGCAACTGATTCTGCCTTATGCTTGTGGCAGGTAATAAAGCAAGATACGTGTAGAGATGAAGTGATAGACTTGCTTTTGCCAATTACACTGATTTGTCCAACCTAGTAATCTCTAGAACCTAATTTCTGAGATAAAGAAAAAATAAAATAATAAAATAAAGAAATTTAGTATTTGAAAATTATGGCCCTTAACCACATAGCTTTTTGCAAAAAAAGTTTATAAAACTTCCATTCTCACCTAGGAGGGCTCCATGGTCATTAGCAATAATGCTATGACAAATGATTTTTTGATTAAACAAATATTAGTTTTCAAGAGAGATGATTTTTTGTGAAAAAGTAAGAAATGATTACAATTGGAAACAGAAACTGTATAAGGAGAAAACAAAAGTGAGTGGAGTGAAACTTGACTTAAAACCAACAAGAAGATTATAATAAAATCACAATTTTCAGCAGAGATAAATATGTCTACTGTATTCGCTGTAGAACATTTTACTTACATTTTTATTTACTCAAATATACACAGACGTACAAGTTTAGAGAATAAATTTTATAATTCTTTTTGAGTAAGAATTTCCAAACAATAAAATAAAGAGCTACTCTGTATAAATTATTGCAGTGTGATTTTTCCATATACAGAGTTTACAATACTTTCATACTCATCTAAAAGGATTACATGGTCTTTAGCAATCATTTTAGCTAAAACACGATTTAGTGATCCAGATTCAGAATCAACTATAAATGAGGACAAAAGCAAAAGCGAACTAGAAGCCAATAGCAACAGCATTAGTGTCTTCAGTGCAGCAAAGCAGGAATCAATATCTATAATTTTGTAGAAAAAACCAACTGGCTGTCAAAAAATTATTAAATGCTCTGGCATTGATGCAACCTGCATAAATGCCAGAGCATTAGGCGAATTAATTAATAAAAATCAAATTTTATATCTCTTAATTTTATTAATATAAAATCAAATTAATATTGTTTTTGTGAGTTTAAAACTCTAAACAATCCAAAATTTCAGCAGGTATCAATATGTTACTTTTTTTGTTATTCTAAGTACTCATTCAATTAAACTACTCAGATCATAGTTCAGATTTGTAAAAGAGTTTGTAAAAGAGTTTTTAAAAGAGTTTGTAAAAGAGTTTGGAAAAGAGTTTGGACCACTTAACTGTAACTTCTAATTATTGCAACAACTTTTATTTGATGTTTTAACAGTTTTTATCTGAGTCAAACAATAAAGTCCTTAGAAATTTCAGGCTCCACCACACAAGAAAAAATATCATAGAGACACCAGATGGAGGCTTTAGAATTAGCTTCAATATAAAAATCTCTAAAGACCCTACAAAGAAAGATTTTGTTGTTGTCATAATACTAATACTGGAAAGTTAAAAGCATGGAAGTTAGCTTTCCCATGAAAATGAAAACTGAAAACGTCTTTAGCTTAAAAAATTTTCAGACGGCTTTTGTTTCACCTAACTATCAGATAAGAATCAGCATGGTTCAACAAGAAGACATCTGGTATACATTACTACTGTAGGCCCCTATACATCTGCAATATCAAAAGGAAATAACAAAGGAGTTGACAAGAAAAGAATATGAATGTCTTAAAACTAAAATGAATAGACTAGTAGAAGTTCAAGGTAAATTAAGAAGTTGAAGAAGGAAAACCTGATATAACCATCACTTTTAAATTCAAACTAGATTTAACCATGTTTGATGGTAAATTGGTAAACAATTTCACTAACATTCTATTCTTGCAATTATGTTTGTGTAGCTAAGTAATTATGTAATGTTTGTGTAGCTAAGTAATTATGTAATTTTTGTGTAGCTAAGCTGAGTGAATTTAGTCAAACATGCATATCAAAGGGATATAAGACACTTTTACTGTGCTAAAAAATGAAGTGCAAGTGACAAGTTAACTCAATCTCAAGAAACTCTCAACAATTTATTATCATCACAAGAATGAATTGTTAATAATTGCTTTTTCAAAATTTATTATACAAAAATTGTCTCCTTTGTCTTTAACATTTCCTAAAACCAAATTTAAAAGAGCAAGAAAACAAGTGAAAACTGGAAATCTTTTAATTACCCATCAATTTATGTCAACAAATATAAAAATTAAATGAAATTTTACCCTTACATCTAATGAGAATTAAACACGGCCTTCTATATTAACAGGCCTTGACATCACACAAAATGCAGTAAAAACTGAAGGCTGATTAAACTATTATTACTATTATTGATATATTTATAATATATATATATTCATATAAGCTAGGGTGATATGGTTATGTTTTTTAATACAAACCTAAAGACAGAAATATAAAAGGAAAACCAAAAATTGTTAAAAAATAATTAATTTATATATAATTTATTCATATGTCAAATTTCATCAAGAATATTAACGTAATATTAAATAATATCAATAACAATTAATATAACTATATATTAGAAAGATAACAGTCCTTTTTTTTTTTGCTTACAGAAATATAACTAAAAAAAAGGAAACAATAAAAACCACCAACAAAAATCGATTCATACAAAAAAAATAATAATAATAATATATCTCAACAGGGTAAATATTTACAAATCTAAATACATTGAGAGACATAAAGGCTACAGAGGAAATAAAAAGCATAACAAGGAAATAGCGTAATTAACTACAAAACTAATTTTCACATAATTATGATAGCTATAGTATTTTCATTTTAGTTTCTTTCATTTTTGCACATAGCCAACTATATAAACTATAGCCACTAATGTAGATATATTAACTGAGCTTTTAAGGTCATGATATTATCCAGAAGTTCATTTTTATCAGTAGAAATATCTATAGAACTTATGTCGCAAGTATGACCATCAATACAATCAACAGGAATGTCAAGTTGTAATTTAGTATGCATAATCATCCAGGTCATATTTTAAAAATCCGGAAAATTTGTTGGGTAAAATATCCGCAAAAAATTCAGAATATATTTTACTTTATATTCCTCTTAATTTAGCTTTTAGTTGAGTTGTTTTCAATTTTTTAACTTTTATTAATTTTTGTATGAGTGATGATTGAAAAAGCTATAATATATATACATATATATATATATATATATATATATATATATATATATATATATATATATATATATATATATATATATATATATATATATATATATATATATATATATATATATATTACCTAACCTTGTATATATGGAAAAAAAATTTTGATATCCGTAAAAATGAAAAATTGAGTAAAATATAATAATAATAATAATAATTGAAGCTGTGTTCTTGAGAGTTTCAAGAAAGAATCTAAAAACTGTAGATGTTAGATTTTAACAACTGTTTTTTGCTAAACTTTTTAAGTTTATTTTTAAAATCAATTACTGAATTAGCGTTAACAACTTCACTGTCCAAACGATTCCAATTTTCAACTATACGGTTCGTGAAGAAATGATGCCTCTGCAAAAAGTTTTGAACATACTGCCTTGGCAACCTTTGATTGTGTCCTCTAGTTAGCCTACCCAATACTTCTGGTTCACGATGCCAATTGATAGTATCAATTTTGTTCATGAATTTGTACATTTGGATAAGATCACCTTTTTCCCCTCTATTTGATAGATTTTGTAAGTCCATTTTCTCTAATCTTTGCTCGTAACTGTCTTTCTTTTTTTTGTAGCCAAATTTTGTAGCTTTTTGCTGAATTTTTTCTATTAAGTTTATATCTTTAATAAAATATGGGTTCCACACTTGAAAAGCATATTCTAAGTGTGGCCGAACGAGTGACATATATAACAATTTTGTTGATGTTTCATCTGAATAGAGGATTGCGTGCTTTAACATACCTAATTTTTGATTTGCCTTACCATTTTTTCAATGTGGTCTTCCCATTTTAAATTGTCTGAAATATAAACACCAAGGTCTCTTTCCAATGACGTTACTATTAGTCCATGTTGAATAATCTCTGTTTCTGTAGCATTATATTTTAAATTATACTTTATTTTCGGATTATCACGACCAAAATGCATGATTTTACATTTATCTTTATTAAAAGTGATAAGCCATCTTTTAGTCCAGTTAAATAAGATATCAAGATCAAACTGTAGAGAGTTATTTATTTTATATTTTTCTAGAACTGCAATTATTTTTAAATCGTCTGCATATAGTTTTGCTTTATTATTCAACTTTTTTGTTAAATCATTTATATAAATTATAAAAAGTAAGGGTCCTAAGACCAATCCTTGTGGTACCCCACTACGAACTGTTTCCCATTCTGATTCAAACAGTCCCAAAACAACTTTCTGTTTTCGATTTGCTTAAAAAGCTTTACACCATTGCATCAATTTTCTGACAATACCAAATGACTAAAGCTTCAAGAGCAGCCTGGAATGCGGAACTGAATCAAATGCCTTAGAAAAATCTAAAAAGGCAACATCAACACATTTTCCACAATTTATTGCTTCTGTTATTATGTCTAATGTCTCGAGAAGGCTTGTTACACAATTTTTTGATTTAATGAATCCGTGTTGTTCTGGTATTAATAACTTATTTTTATTTAAATAGTTCATTATTGTATC